AGTGAGAATCAGGAAGGCGAGAAACACATTCATCAACCTGAAACCAATCTGGAAATCTTCGTCACTCAACCAGCATCAACAACAAAATTCGGTCGGATTTTCAATACAAACGTCAAGTCAGTCAGTTCTTCTATACGGATAAGAAACTTGGCGGGCGGGTCACAAATAATATTTCCAACAGCCTGTTGCAGACCTTTATCAACGCTGGATCTATACTGAAGATCAGATGGCCGAGCAGGAAAGAATCACCAACAAGAAACTATGAGAACAAACAAAACAAGAACCATTCGCCAACCAACAAATATGCAGGAGAAAGTAGAGATGGATCAGACACTCGCTGAGGAGACCGCTGGGTGACATCGCGCGCGCGTCAGGCCATTGTTCGAGTGGAACCCGAAAGGTAAGCGGCTAGTGGAACATCGGTGTAAGAGTGAAGGAGATCGTGTGAAGAGGAGTTGAAAGAGTATGGACTAACATGGATGCAGGTGAAAAGTACAGCAGAAGGAAAACAGAAGCAAGTGGAGACGTGCAGTTGAAGCCCTATGTTCCACCAGGAACCCAAGGAAGCAATAATAATAATATCTACAGAGTCAAAAGAAACCTCTCTGAGATGTATTTTTCGTATTGTTGAGGTCTTATCCACTCTTATAGAAAATTCTGATTGATGCATACAGAGGAGACTCCCCCACCTAATTTCCTACCTTGGAAATAATCCCAACCTCAACTGTTTCCAGTATTTCTGTGGTGATTGACAATTTCTATCTCTGTATTGTTTAAATACTTACTGTTGACTGTTGATATGTTTCTTATATGAATTGCATTCTAATTCCGCTAAATACAAATTACTGATTGCTGCCCTCTCTGGGTTTTGATTAGATTCCTATAATTCCGTCATCCCGGTATATTAATATTTCAAGAACAATAAATTACTACAAATTGGCGTCGCGATGGAGCTAAGTAACCTGGGAAAATTCCCCATTAATGGGTCTCCGCGGGAGATTGCTGATTATTTGGAATGCTTTGATGCGTGGTGCATTTCCAAGAATGTTCGGGATGATAAAATACCTGCTCATTTCATCACCGCTATTGGTCTTGATGCATATAGCCTGGTGAAGAATCTGGCGTTTCCAGATAAACCCATTTCTATGCCATATGCTAAGCTCCGTGAACTTCTTATAGATCACTTCCATGTAACTACTTTTGAGACGAGAGAGAGGGCTCAGTTCAACAAACTGGTACGTTCTCCCAATCAGAAGATAAGAGACTTTATACTACAACTCCAAATTCAAGCCTCAAAGTGTAATTTTGGAGATCAGCTGCATACACAACTACGTGATCGTCTAATTGCTGGAATCAACATTCCTAAATTAGAGAAAGAGTTAATTCAGATTCCCTCTTGTACGTTTCAAACTGCTAAAGATTTATGTATTACATATGAAGATGTCAATAATGAATACTCTGCTCCCACTACGTCAGTGTCTGATGTTATGCTTTCTAAAGTCGAAAATACAAGTGTTCATGGAAAGAAATCCAAACTGCCGTCCACAGGTAATAGAATGCAGCGAGAGATCAAAAACATTAAACCGTGTTTATCCTGTGGAAAGTTACATCTACGAAGCACTTGCCGTTTTCGGAGTGCTAAGTGCTATAAATGTGGTAAAGTTGGACACATCAAGACGGTTTGCAGGAGTTCGAGTACTTATGTTGCTCAACATTCTTATAATTCTCCCAAGCTGTCTAGTAAAATGGAGTCTATGTGTCTTTCAACTTTTCAAAATACTCAAGCTAATCCAACGAAAACCTCTACTGCAAGTTCAGCAACGCAAGTATCAACTGTATTCAAAAATGAGGTAGCTAAGTTGCAATGTGAACTGTCGAAAGCACGAAAAGACCTGAATGAGATGAGAGAGCAACTGAATAAAATTGAGGAATTACTGCATATGCATAGACTACGTCTGGTGAATCCAGAGCATACAAGTTCTTGTGAAAGTCCTGCAAAACTATTCAAATCTCGAATTCTCAAAAAGCATCTGATGTCCACTACTTCTAATATACATTATTACAAAGATAATAACTACAGACCTTCTGTTGGAATTATACTACAAAAAATGGGAAATCGAGTGGTGAAGATATTAGACATCAAAGATCACTCAGTTCATAACGGACACCTGGACAAAGTGACAATAAATGAAGTAGGTCGTTCCAATTATAATATTATTGATTCCGCTAATAATCCTGATTTTGTAGATAATTCAGAAATAAGTCCAGATAGTACTGATGAAAATAATATCACAGAATCAGTTAGCTCGAAGCTACTTGCAAGCAAACCGAGACATCGTTATAAATACGCGAGGAGATATTCGAGGTGTGGCGGATGTGGTGATTGACAATTTCTATCTCTGTATTGTTTAAATACTTACTGTTGACTGTTGATATGTTTCTTATATGAATTGCATTCTAATTCCGCTAAATACAAATTACTGATTACTGCCCTCTCTGGGTTTTGATTAGATTCCTATAACTCCGTCATCCCGGTATATTAATATTTCAAGTACAATAAATTACTACAATTTCTCTGTTAATACTATCATTTTTCCCAAGTAGTTCTCAGTATTACAATTATTAGTATCGCTTTTCCACTAACTTTTTGTTCATCCCGTTTACCTATTACATAAAATATATTTATATCTACCTCTATAATCTTTTCACTGACACTATTTTTTGCAAACATTTTTTGTACTACGCAACCTTTAGTCTAAACTCATTAGTCTTCACTTCCTCAGTTACAACTTGATTAATAGTCACTATTACAAAACATTTTGATGATGTGAACAATATTTCAAACTAATTTTTTATTCCTTTTTCCTACGCTTTACATACCGAATAATCTATATGCATATATAAAAGTAATTATATATAATCGTGAATTTAAAGCTAAGTCAATGAATTCCACGAAAAGAGTTTCCTCCCTGAAATGTTTGTTCTTATCTCCATGTCTTGATCGGTATTTTTCGCATATAACCTGTGCAACACAGATCTGAATAATCTGTATCAGTTAACATTCACAACCACGGTTGATTTGTCTTCGTTACCAAACAATGTTCTGCTACCTTTATTACCACTGACATGCTTTTCCATCTAATGTAAGCAATCAGACAAAGAAATCCATGGTCACTATCCCGTTATATCCCTATATATTCTACTTCAATCAAATAATATAGCACGTCATAAAGCAGTGTACATGTCATTTGACAGACTTAAGTGTATATCTTGAACTCATAATATCATATGCATAGGCGAAAAATCACCAAGTCTTTTGTATCTGTGCTCACATGTTACCTACTACCAGCTGATTAGAGCTGATGAAGTTTCCCAAATAAGTAATGTGGTTAGTATTTTCCCTTTTTCAACTTACTATACTTCAGTTTAATTCTTGTGACCTAGTTCTTTATCAGAATTTGACATTCGACTGTGGAAAAGCATATTTAAAATTCGTATTTGTGCTGAGGGTTTTTAGGTTTTTCTCTCTTAAAAACTAAATCATCTAATTCTCTTAAGCCAACCAGTTTTATCCTTGGCAGCAATTCAGTTTCTGAGGTGACAAAGTCAAATAAAGTCACTTCCATAGTGGAAGCAATAAAACTAGATATGACTTCTGATACGAGTCCTTTCTAAATGAGACGACTAGATTTTGTTACCTTAAACAGAAGTTCCATTTAGAATAAGTTACTGTCATTAGCACTCCTTCCGAAGTAAGACATTGTTAAAATACCTCTCGATCTACAGAAACAATTACTGTTTCAGGTCAAGAAATATGTATTTTTTCTAAATGATAACTATCCTTGGCCTGTGAACATCAACAATCAATAAGCCTGAATTCATCATTTACTTTTGACTTCATGTGATAACTTTGTAAAACAAATTTTAAAAAATACAGTCGTTTTTAACTGCCTTAAGCATATATGTGTTTACCTCTGCTTTCCAGTCACTAAATGGCATCCTTTATACTACCTGATTTAATTTAACTCATGTCTTTACACAGTTTAAATTAGTGTTTGTCTGGACTCTACCTATTAATAAAACGACTTCTAGAGGACAATAATCTTTCGCACACAAAAATAAGATCGAGTGGATATTAAGTACTTTACAGTAAAAAAGCAGTACAAGAACAAAGTCGGCAGCTCACTAATATTGAAAGACTAATGGGATCTGTTCATAAATAATTCAGTATCAAGCAGATAATAAGGCTGATATTCTGGCAGTTCATAAAACTTTCAGTCGAAGAGAATTCATTTAATCTATACTGTTTCCAGTAATGGACTATACTCTAGCAATGCTAACTTGATAGCTGATAAAATAGGAATTCCATATGTAAGCTTTATTCTGTTTTAGGTTCGTCTGTTGCATGCAGTCACCTTCTCCGGATATCGATTCTAGCATCCACGATTTCAAGCTCTACAGTAAAAACCATTGCACTCCCTCCAAGGTCGGATAAAAATGGAAAATAATTTTCAAAATCAACTACGCATCACGTAATTAATTTAATTGAAAAATGAAAAGAGCTCTTTGATGAGATGCTTTTTTGTAGAATCTTTCGTGCATACAACTCTGGAAGTAAGGGAAGCAGATATTCACTGCTAATCGATTTTAATAGGTTTCGCAGCTAATGCCGATTTATAATAATTAAAATACTACACCGATAATCAATGCTTCATAAACCTTCCTATTAAAAGTGAATTTCTTTTTCTGCAGTAAGTCTTAGTTTTTTTATATCTTGGTATACATAGTTTTAAATAACAAATTGAAAACACAAATTGCCAATGATATGTGTATCAACTATTTTTTCTAACACTTCACAAATCTACTTTAAAATAATGGAATTTGACTACAAAGGTCTTTTGAAACAATTTTGAATACACTCATTCATAAAGATGTCCATAAAACGCAAGATCATTCAACAAATCCATTATTAGCATACTAGTTGTTTAAATGAAGCTCTGTCAGTGAAAATAATGGATTTTTAATCTCGAAGTCCCTAGATTCAATTTTGGACGATCTTCAAGATATTCGTTTCCACCTTGTAAAATCTTTATATGATGAAGGAAATGGTTCATTAGAAATGTTTGCTCTTCATCGTTCGTGAAAGATTTACACGAATTTAGTATTGGATGGTGTGGCCAAACGTGTAACTCTCTATGTACTTTTGCAATTTTGCTGATGCGTTTTGTATCTTCTAAGCGACTTTTGATATACTTTATGGGTTCATCAGGTTGTTCTAGCATCAGCCCACCGACAATTGATTCAATAATACATAATAAATTAAAGTGTTCAGCTCTAGATTTGGAAGATAGATAAGCTTCAATTTCTGAAATCTGTGGAATTTGTAATGGGTATTCAGACTGAAAATACCTGGACCATTCCTATGCATAAGACGCCACCAGATTAATTGCCAACGGAGATTCAGCTTCCCTGAAAATGACTTCGAAGCAAAAGTTAGTGCAATAGAATTACAAACTAAAAAACATAAAAGACGGATAAGAATTAATACAAATAATTCATGACAGTTTTTAACATTAAATAAGGGGAATTTGAGAAAGGGACGAAGATTTTGAGGTTATCTTCACTGCTAAAACTGCGGGGAGATTCATGGATTAGATGATTTGAAATCATGAAAATCACCACATTCAGTTAAAAGACTTTTCAACGAACTTTCCATCATGTTGTATCATCGTAAATATATGACTTTTCAAGAAACTATATCCCACGAAAAAAATTTAAACAAATACTTAAAATGATAATGAGAAATGAGATAAAATGTTTGTGGTTACAATCAATATCAAGCGAGAAAGATAAATAATGCCAAATGTAAAATAGCTCATAGAATTTTAGTCCTGGAAAGAGGTGTAAAATAATTGAAAACCCTCAAAGAGCACATCTTGACAATTACCATCTTTTTGGGATAATACCCTTTGGAGGCCAGCATCACTCATCAATCCCAAAAATATTTGCAGATTTCTAGCGCACTTTCCAGAGACCCAAAATGCGGCGAGGTTTAAAATAATTAAACATAAAAAAGCCAAACTTACAACCAAACTGCCTTTTTGATGTTTAACTTCTTTCAAAACGTTTTTAACATGCATGCATCGTACTAAACGTGAACGCTGTTTTTATACCTCATTCTGCCGATCATCAAACAGAGCTGCACAGTGTTCTAGGTTAGGTAAATTGCTTAACATTTGCTATAAACTATCCGAAATTCAACCTGTCACATACATAGCTGTTGATCGCACACTTCTGACTAGTTCTGTATTTTGTTTGTTATCCTCACTTGCAGGTCAGGCAAGCCATTGTTTAACTTTGTACTAATTCATGTCACTTTCCGTTAGACTGATTAAGTGTTGATTGTACATCACACACTGATTGTCTTGTTATTTTCTAAATAAGGAGTGAAACGGGAGCGACTTATGACAAACACTGTTATAAAGTCCCCACATTTTGACTAATTCGAAATTTGCTAGTATTTTTCTGAAGGTACGATATAGATGTGTAAGCATCCCAATCGGACAAAAAAGGGCGAATAGTAGGCACGGCGAATTTAGGTTTCATGACCACTTTTCCCACTTTGAGCATTATTTGGCCAAAATTAACCAATATTTTCTCAGTTTAAACATTATTTAAGCAATATCACATCATTCAGATCACTATATCACCAATCTTACCACATATCCAAAGTCATGGCCGCTTTAACTACTACTTCAACATTCTTCGCTCATTTTGTCCTACTGGAACAGTTTACAGATTTATATTTGTAGAAAAACATTTAATTATTCGTTAAGCACCCAGCTAGCATTTTTTTCGGGCGCACTGCAAACTTTGGGACAAAAACTTAGGGCGCATAAACATACGTGGGACAGTGTCCCTAAGCCTGCCCTAAAAAGTCTGCAATGTGCCCTAAGTCTGCCCCAAAATATCTGCAATGCGCCCAAACAAAATGCCAGCTGCACCCCTTGTAAGGGGTGTTCGTCCTAAGAGTCTTATACGGACGGTATTTCACTAAAATGGAAATGACTGAAGCTTTTGATTCGGTCTTCGACAAACAACATTTCGAAGAGTAATATCTCTACTAGATGAAATGACCGTCATTGGCGTCCTGAGATGGGCTTGTAATACGTCTAGTCCACATAAGCCCTCACTAATCTAAGGCAAAGTGTAGGAAACTAGCCACGGAGTAACCTGGGAAATAAACCTAGGCTTACTACAGTTGTAGTCAGAGTAGGACTGGTTGGCGTCATATTGTTACAAAGATATCCGATTTCACTCTATTGCCCCTGGCTTTCTGAGGCTCAACACGATATTCCACTCTCTAAGACATGTAAGGCATCACCGGCTTGATTCTATTGTTGCTTGGTAATACGTGGACAGGAGAGAATCCTCCGAGTTAGCTACCTGGACATATATCCAATATCCTGATTACGAGCTAGTATAAACCAGTGATTTCTTTGAGCTCGCTTCTTGATTGTGAGGTAGAGGTTCCAGATCTTCGGTGAGCTTCTGTGTAGTATGTCCCGCCACTCGACTGCTTTAGCTCTGGTAGACTCCAAGAGGAGTGGTGCGGGGATTGGTCGAGATGTGGTTTGTAGTATGCAGTATGTTAGGACTGTATTGCTGCCGTGAATGGAGTTTGACCTAACTCCCGTTGGTCATTCGGTGTAGTCATAAAAGCAGAATAGTAATAATAATAATAATAATAATAATAATATAATAATAATAATAATAATACGTTGTAGTGTTGAGATAAGTGGAATAATAAAGGTGACCTAAGGAAAAGATAGAGTGAGAGAAGGCAGAATAGGTCGTGGGGATTTAGTTTGTACGCTTATCCATTGACAGTGTGGTTTCAAGTTTTATGAGGATAAGCCACTGAGACACAAGCCTTGCATTTCTGCATGATTGTCTAGCTTCCGCTTAAAAATCTCCAGAGATGGCGCTGTAGTCACGGCCGCCGGTAAAGCGTTCCAGAGACGGCAAACTCGAAGTGAAAAGAAATGTGATCGCACTCGAGCCTTTGGTCTCTGGTGTGCTATCCTTAGCAGGTTACCTCGTGGAAGCCTATAATCACTTAATGGCAGAATGCTTTTATTTGGGTGGGCCTGGTCATTTAGGATCTGGTAGACGGTGATGAGGTCTCCCCTGTGCCTACGGTAACTAAGTGTGAAAAGACCTAATTTCTTTAGTCTCTCCTCGTATGATTTGTTGCGGAGGCCGATCACCCATTTTGTCGCTCGTCTCTGGACACTTTCTAGAATGTTAGCATCCCTTTTGAGTAGCGGAGGTGCAATGATATTATGCACCTCAAGGTGTGGCCTCACATATGCCTTATATAACCTTAAGAACAGTTCGGGAGTGAGAAATCCCAGCTGCCTATGCATAAAGTGTAGGCTTTGGCGACGTCCCTCGAATAATTTCTACCGGTGTCTAGCTTTTCTGTTAGAATAAGACCTAGATCTCGCTCTGATGGAACACAACTCAAGTTCTGGCCACCAAGGGTGTAATTTACACTCTGTGACCTGCCGGAATGAAGTTGCACTACTTCGCACTTCTTTAGATTGAAAGGCATTCCGTTAGCCAGAGCCCAGTTTCCCTGGACATATATATATATATATGTATATATAATTCAGCCTAGATGGAGATATTACAAAACCTTTAATTGTACATCAAACAGAAACCAAACTTGATGTAAAACCTCCCATCACCAGGAGGAGACAAATACTCTCCAACACCCTTAGTCGTCTATTTGAACAATAACGAGTAACTGGTGTTATAGCGACGTCATCCAATATCCAATATCGTGTTAACGACAGTAGAACTGGTAAACCAGTCTGATTTCCTTTGTGCTTGCTTTTTGATTTTGAAGTAAAGTTTCCTGGTCTTTGTTAAACTTCTGTATAGTTAGTCCCGCCTTTCAACTGCCGTAGCTCTGGTTGACTCTAAAATGAGTGGTGCTGGGATTGCTTATATGTGGTTTGTAGTATGTGGTGTGTCGAGGCCGTGTCACTGCTGTGTATGGAGTTGATCCTTGACCAGCCAGTTCTTTGGTGTCGTCGTCAGAGGAAAAGAGATAATAATAACAGATGTAATTAGTGTACGTTATTCAGACTGAAAGAAAGAAAATATATAAAGAAAAAGTAAAAAAACAGTAAGTTAATTAAATTTGTGGTTGATATATATATATACAGATATACATATATATGTATATAATATGAATAATAATTATTATTGTTATAATAAGTGTAAGTGTAGTAGTTGGCGTAGTCAGGACAGTAAAACAGGAGAGAATGTAAATTAAAACAATGAATTTAGATATCTACCCATTAATTGTATATGAGATTTTGAGGGGATAGGCCATATGGACACGGTCCTTGTTTTGCTGCATGATTGTCCAGCCTTCGCTTAAGGGTGTCCACAGACGGTGCTGCAGTCACATCTCCCAGTAGGGAGTTCCAGGGACGGAAAACGCGAAGTGAGAATAAGTGGGGGCGCAATCGAGTCTTTGCCCTCTTGTGAGATATCCTTCTGCGATTTTCACGAGCCCATACCTACTCAATGGCAGAACACCTCTATTTGGTTGATTCTGGTCGTTTGTTGTCTTGTAGGCAGTAACCATTTCCCCACTAAGCCAACGGTAGCTAAATGTGAAGAAACCTAATTTCTTCAGCTGTTCACCATATGGTTTGGTCCGGAGACCCACCACCCATTTTTTCACACGTCTTTGGATTCTTTCCAAAAGGATTGCATCTCTTCTGAGCAATGGGGGTGCAATGATATTATGCACTTCAAGGTGTGGTCTTACATTTTTTTTGTACAACCTTAGAAAAGAGCCCAGGAGTGAGTGCGCCCAACTGTCCACGAGTTAAGTGCATGACTGCATATGCCCTCGCTACATCCCCATGTAGTTCACGCTTATGCCCATTTTTCCTTTAAAACTAGGTCTTTTTGTTCAGGACAAGTTTACCTTGCAGAGGGAGCACCCTACATTCTGCAACCCACAGTTATATAGTTGCAAAGCTGTACTTTTCCAGGTTGGAACTCATATCATCGGCCACTCTCCAGTCTTTAAGACATTTAAGGTCTGTCCGCAGTCGATCTGAGTCTTCCCTAATACTCTCCAAATAGGTAACGAATTTCAGTAATAAAAAGTTAGCGAACGGATGGTTAAAACATTCTGGAAAGCGATAGAAGGGGTAATGGGCATATGTAAAGGACGGAGGTGATGAAAATAACCAAACAACAACAACAACAGCAACATCCAGCGTCAATCACCATCAACGGGAGGGATTTGAAAGAGACCACTTCATTCACTTATCTAGGGAGCATTGTCTCAACTACAGGCAGTCGGAACGGACGAGGATGTCAAATCG